GGGCACATATTAAAAGGGGATGCCAAAGAATCATTATCATTATTCTTTCAAATGATATTGTCCGCTGTTATACCAAACGAGTTCACCTTCTCTACGAATCTAAGGGCATGCGGGCTTTTGGGCAGTCTTGAAAATGGAATGCGAATACATGGTATGTGTGTTAAGAGAGGATTTGAGAAGCTGCTTGTAGTGGGAAATTCTATTACTGACATGTACTCGAAATGTGGAAGAATTAATGAAGCGGAGATAATGTTCAAATCAATGCCAATCAAGAATCTTATAAGTTGGAATGCAATGATTGCAGGATACACACTTGCAGGATATGGTGCAAAAGCTATCAGTGCGTTCCAGAGGATGCAAGGAGATGGGATGATTCCTGACGAATTCACATTAACAAGCATGTTGAAAGCTTGTGCTGGTCTTGACACAATTCATGGAGGAAAGCAAGTTCATGGTTTCTTGATCACAAGTGGATTCCCATGTTTGGCTAAGGCAACAACTGCAGGCGCTCTTATAGATTTATATGTAAAATCTGAAAATTTGTTCGAAGCTCGGAAAGTATTCAATCACGTTGAGGAGAAGAATGTCATATCCTGGAGTTCGCTGATCTTAGGTTATGCCAAAGCCGAGAACTTGAATGAGGCTCTGGATTTATTCAGGCAGCTTCGCATCAGTTGCTCACGAATAGATGGTTTTGTGCTATCAAGCATTATTGGTGTGTTTGCTGATTATGCTCTTGTGGAGCAAGGTAGGCAAATGCATGCCTACACCGTTAAAATTCCATCTGGTCTAGAAACATCAGTATGTAATTCAATTGTGGACATGTATCTCAAGTGTGGAATGATAGATGAAGCAGAGAGATCTTTCAAGAAAATGACAATGAGAAATTTGGTTTCCTGGACGGTAATGATCACTGGCTATGCAAATTATGGTCTGGGAAAAGAAGCAATTCATCTCTTTGATGAAATGCAGTTAAGTGGAGTGGAACCTGATGAGGTGACTTATTTAGCGATACTCTCAGCTTGTAGCCATTGTGGACTCGTT